AACTATGGAGGAGATTTATCAATGCTAAATACTCCGGTTCCTCATCTGCCTCATGGCCATCCATTCGCCATAGCTGCTACAGAGGACCATGGATGCGTATTTACCAACAAATCAAGCTCATAAAAGAACATGCCTACTGTCGAGTGGGAGAAGCTAGCCAGATTGTTTTTTGGAAGGATAAATGGCTACTACAGGGGACTTTGGCCAACCTTTTCCCAAATCTCTTTGCTCTTTCCACAGATAAAGAGGCAACCATTGCTGATCTATGGTCAAAAACCACCTCATCATGGGACTATAGATTTCGCAAACATCTAAAAGAGGAGGAAACAATAGAATGGTTAAGCCTTTCACACACCCTTTCAGAGATTGCCCCTACGACCCATGATGATCTATGGATATGGCCACACGAAGCAACCAAAGCATTTTCCACCAGATCTATCTACAGAGTGCTATCTACCACTCCCTCACAACCCGCCCTAACACTGTTCCATAGCATCTGGAAAGGTCTCCATCCAAAGAAAGTAAAGTTTTTTTGTTGGGAGCTCAGTCATGGCACGATAAACACACACGACAGGATTCAAAGGAAACTCCCCACATTATTCTCTCCCCAAATTGTTGCCATCTCTGTTTAGAGGCATCCGAAGACCAGGGCCATATTTTCATTACTATTACTTGTTCTTTTGCTGCTCGTATTTGGGACATTATCCTCACTGCTTTTGGATGGAAAACTGCACTGCAAATTCACCCTGCCATTTTCCTTGATTGCCTACTGTTTGGACACCCTTTTAAAAAGGAAAAGGCTACACTGTGGGTTCAATTTATAAGGGCTTTCTTATGGAGTCTTTTGTTGGAGAGAAACAATAGGGTCCTTAATGATAAAGTTCTTCCCTTTGAGATCTTTTTTGACAGAGTTACTGTCTTAACTCTTGGATTGTTTCTACTCACCTTTTAATAGCTACTCTCTTAACAATCTTATTACAAGCTGGAAGGCTTTCTTGTAATTGTCCATGTGCCCTTTTGTATATTTCATACTATCAATGAAATATTTGTTTCCTTCCCCCCCCCAAAAAAAAAAAAAAAGAAGAGGACAGCTCCTGGATCTCTAGTGTGGTTCCAATGTTTTGTTCCATTTCTCACCGAGTGAGAGGACATAACATATCGATTTCTTAGTGGGTTTTTATATGCTTTTATGAAGGTTGAGATTGAGAGAGCACGGTTGTCTAATGAGAGAGGTGGCAAAGATTGAAGCTAAGAGAGAGGAGGAATAGACCAATCTGTGTAATTTCTCATATATCATACCCATATTATTAGACACTAGGGAAGACAATTTTTTCCCAGGGACAGGCCATGCCAATTTAATCGGCGCTGAGGTAGCAGGTCGGGAATGGGAAAATTATTTTTCCTGATTTTCAACATATAGAACTATTAGTTCATGAAGGATGTATCCTTCCGTAGGGATTTAATTTCAAAGGGGAGCTTATTCTCCACTCATCCGTCAATGTGGAACTTATTGTCAATATATAGGATTATTAGTTGTTGATAAGTAGAGGAGAATGGGGCTGTTACAAACTTCTCTTCAACACAATTTATTTTCAAGTTCAATTAAATTCTAAAATTTGTTTTAGATTTGAACCACAATACCTTGATGCCAAATGCAGAATAACATGTAAATATTATCCGGTCAATGGGAGAAGTTAAAGGACATTTTGTTTTCATAATTTTGATTCTCGAGAAATTGTGCATCAATGTAGGAGAATCTGATTTGTTTGCTAATTCTTATTTTGTAGGGAGAAAACTGTTTTGAAGGTTTATTTATTCTTTAAATTAGTCTGCTTCATCTCTTCCGGTTCCATATATTCATTTAAGCTCATGCTTTCCTTCGTTTCATTTCCTCATCGTGTTTCTGTTATGCATTTTTTCTTCAGATAATACGTGTTTGAATTATTCAATAATAAATTGATAATTAAACACTTCTTTCAAATGATTTAGTTATATTTGCCTTTCTTTAGCTTTTCTTCGTTGCATCTTCATTCATGAGCTGATAATTTGTTATCCTTTTCTGCAAGTTTATTCACCAAAGTTTTAGTAGGTAGGTTCTTCATTTATACACTTGTTGAAGTCGTATCTTTAGTCCTTTTATCTGCTTTTAGCATCTTTGCTCATTCAATGCTGCTTCTCTATTTTCATCCATCATTGCTTCAAGCTCGTATCCATATTTTTATTTGTTCCTCGTGATTTTTTCTTGCAGCTGGTTGAATAAACTTCATGTAATCTCTTCCCCTGTAGACTTTGAATTCTCTACTATCATCATCCTATAATGTAAGAACCATGATGATAGTTTAGAATCAAGTTGAGGATTATTTATAGTAGATGATGAAGTATCAACAACTAGGAATGCAAAATGAAATTCATAGTCATTTGAATGAATACTTTCTCCAATAAGGATTTGGGGCCGAGATTCTGGCACTTGCTTTTATCTTTTCCACAAGGCTTGTGCTGTTTGGTGTCTCTACCTTTTTTGAGTATCCAGTAAGTATTAAGTACTTTCTCAGTCAAAATCTTACCTAGGGTCGTTTGATAACTATTTCGTTTTTTAATTTTCTATTTTAAAAAATTATGCTTGTTTTTTACCATTTCTCTTGAAAACATATTTGAATTTTTAGATGAATTTCTAAAACAAATTTTTTTTCAAAATTTGGCCTAGATTTTCAAAATGTTTATAGAGATGTATATGACAATCAATAATGTTTTTAAGATTAATTTTTACCGAAAATAAAAAACGAATGGTTATCGAACAGAATCTGAGTACTATGGTTTGTTTCTCATAGCATATTGTATATAGCTCCACTCAATAAAGTCAGAAATGTTTAAGATGCCAAGAAAGAGCACATTGAAAAACCTGTCTAGTTGTATCTGCAGGTGCCAGAGCATTCATCTGTACGTAGTAGCTTGGTGAGTCAATTTTAATGAGTGTTATATCTTAAATCCTTGAATAAGTGAATTAATACATCCAATTAGTTGAGCTATTTTCATTTTTTCTAAGATTTCTGAATATGGTCGTCCTCATAGTTAGACGTATATTGGTTTATTCTAATTGTGTTAGATGCTTTTAATTAAAGTGAATTCTGGTATTTTGTTGCTAAGTTTGAACCTTTTTTGTCTGCTTGATTTTGTGACTAGGTTCGAGTATTTTCATGATTAGATTTGGGCATTTCTGTGTCCTTTTAGGTGTTTTTTTAGTTGAATTTCATATGATTTATTGGTTGGTTTAAGGGTAATTTTCAATTTTAATTTTAAAGAGGTTTTAATTACATCACTAATTCAAGTTCAAGGTTTAATTGGATGAAATTAAAAGTTTAAACTTAAAATTGATTCACTGACTTAAGTATAGTATTGAAAATGATTTTTTCTCCTAAAATTTATTGTAACATCATGTACTATCTCGTCATTCGTTCGATCAATCTGGCTAGATCTCGATACCCTAGCCTAGTATTGTATAAAGACTTGAATGCATATAGTTTTGTCATCTCGACATTCTTCGTTTTTTCTGTATAGCCCATCTCACCACAACAGATCTTACCTTATATGTCCTTTAAGTTACTCTTTTGAATGTTTCCCTTGGTATGTTTCCTTGTTCAAGTCTAAATGATTCTCGAGACGTGCAGCAGCTTTTACCTCAGTTATTCCATTTTGCTGTTCCAATGGCTGCTGAATAATGTTCTACAGAATTTGTCTGGGTTCATTAGTCATAAGTCACAAGAAATAAAGTATAATCCAGATGATGTCATTATAAGGCATCAATTCTTCCTCAATTGATCAATGTTTAATCATTTGATAGTTCATTATTAGCTTTGGTGCAAAGACCAATCCACTCCAGAACATATTCCAACAATTTTTTTGAAACTTTTCATCTTTGGTATTTGCAATTGTTAAAAATTAGATGTATGTATGAAATGATATTTCAAATTTACCTACTTGATTTTGATAATTATTGAAGACTATATTGTTTTCTAATTTTGTCTCTAATCTTTTTGAAATTCTAATTTTGTTCTTTATGTATTATGTATTTTCTTCAATCTGAGTCTTTGTTGTTACCAAATGTTGAAAAAGCGATACCTTATTTAGTCGTATACGTTCTTGAGACTACGATGAACAATGTAGTCTTGTAGGGAGAAAAAGACACTTTGTTGATGGGGAGATGAGTTTGATGGTGATATGGAATAGCCTTAATTGGGAAGAAGTGTTCGATAAAAAGACTCAGAATTTCACTTTCAATATTTGTAGTTTTCTAAAATGCATGGATGCTTCATTTGCTATTGTCAATAAATAATTAGGTTTTCAATTACTAGCTTTGCCATAATGATTTCAACTTGGTTTTAATGTAGTTTTTATGATTTTAAAAGTTATAGCTTTATTCTTATGGATTTGAACATTGAGACTTTATTATTGTGAAGTTTCAATTTGGTCAAATATCACATTGTCTCTATTATTACGAAGTCATTAATGTAATGAATGTGTAGCACATTGTTATTTATTTCTTGTTTTTTTCTTAGGAAAAATACATTTTTTATTTACACAATGAGTTAGTATTTTTTGTTTTGATGACTACATAAGTTGTTATTAGGGTTCACATGGGTAAAAAAAACAGAGAGAAAAGGGGTTTAGGGATTATTCTTGGGATTTAATCAAATTATATGGATTAAATTGAAAATTTTGAAATTGTTGGGCCAAATCGAAACTAAATCAAAACTACAAAGAATAAATTAAAATTATTGGAATAGGGGCCAAATTGAAATTAGATCTAAACTATTTGGATTTAATGAAACTTTTAAAATTATAATGATCAAATTGATAATTTAATTTATTATTTAACCTTTCCGTGTTTGGCCTTATAATGACATCATCTGGACCTAAACTCCGTTTCTCGTACTTTCACTCATTGATGCATTCATTGTTAAGATTATATTAGGTAGGTATGTTTCGATGTTACATTAATCCAAGAATTTTGAAATGTGTGGTATAGTGATAGAAACCAACATTTATTGGAAATCATTTTTCTCTCGTCGATTATTTTATGGTTAGGATTAAAAATAAAAAGTATAGTCCATACATGGTTTAAAACCTAGTGTGATTTCTTATGGTATAAAATGATGAAAATGATGCCAAAGCATGATTGTGGACCTATTTCCTAAAATTTTTAGTTGATATTTTGAGACCAACTTTTGTAGAAATGTTGACGGGAAAATGGTGATAGAAATATTAATAAAATATTGATGGATATTTCTAAAAACATTATAAATGTATAAAATTTGAATAAATATTTAAATTAACAATTAAACCTTTCATGTTTTTTAAATAAGTTAAAAATTATTAATATTAATATCATGTTCATATTAATTATATTTTGTTGATATTTTTTATACTTTATATTTTTTTATTTGTGATACTATGAAAATGTCAAGTTTTTTTTTTCTTTTACGTGAAACTCATAAATATATGAAAATGTTAACTCGACCATGAAAATTTACTCTTTGGATTATATACATAGTGATACTTTTCAACACTTTGATAAATTTAGAGGGTGAGAGAATAATATTTTTTGGTTCAATTAATTTTAACAAGTATATGTCACATTAACATATTTTAAAATAAAATTAAATACTATCATTCCCATGTCGTTTTTATGTTCTACTTATGACATTTTGGTTTTATGAGTCAATCTAAACATAATTTATTAGATAAAACATCTAGTACTATTCTAAAAGTTCATAATTTATTATATAAAACATCTAGTACTATTCTAAAAGTTGATGGATTTTTCTTACTGTACAATTGTTCAACTTAGATATCTTGTGCGCCATTAATTTTTTTTAATGATCAAATAAAATTTTAAATCAAACTTTAGAGGTTAAAAGCATAACATGATTTTATTATATATAATACAATTGTGAAATCTATGGTAGAAATTAAACACCATTGATTTTGAATCTCAAATGTCAGCGAATGTAAACATAGTCTCCAAATTCATTCTAATCCTAGATTCTATTATTATTCTTTTACAATTTAAGTTTTAAATTTTAATAAAAATTATAATTCTCAAAAAGAAAACAAAAAAAAGAGGCATATACGTACATTAGTTTGACTATAATGAAAACTTTAGAATCAAATCAAACAATATGGTTTGGTCAATTTCATTTAATTTTCTTCACATCCTACCATAGACAGTTGAAATAAATTCTCATTTTCCTTGTTTATAATTTCAAAATAAGAAATAGATTCTCATTTTCCTTTGCAATAATTTGAGAAAGAAAATTCTTATGCGATGTAGAACTATTGCAACATTTCCGTAGTAGATATCTTCGATATCATGGTTTCAATTGAAGTCGCAACAATTTAATAAGCCATGATCAGAAATTCGAGTCTATAGTTTCATTTTCTAAAATACTTGTAAATATAGCACTTAAAAAGAAATTATAATTTATGGACTCTGACAATGATAACCGATATGTTTTTACTTGAAGTGATAATCGTTGAATTACATCATGAGTTATTGACCCAAATATTAATCAACTATATAATTATTGTTCATTTTTTTTTAATTGACATTAATTTTTCTTGATGATGTTTATTTGCACCCAACATTAGAAGATCATTTTTGTGGCTCCATGATCAATAGTTGGTTTTGACAATGACTTTGATGTTGAATTGGCCATGTTCATGCTTTGTCTTTTTTCTTTTTTTTTTCTTTTTCTATAAACAATTTTTATTCAAACTCTTTAATGAAAACATGCAGCCCTTTTCCTTTTTTTTTCCTTTTTTCTTTTTATCAATTTTCTGTCTGACTCCTACAATTTGTAATATATTATAATTCTCCCATTTCCACCGATTTGATTGCACATTTTGGCTTCACTATGTTGACTTTTTAGAACTAATAATCATCACTTTTCAAGAAAAATAAAACATGTATACCCCATAAGCAAACTTCACCCAATTATCAAATTTGACCACTGCAAGCATGAATCTAACCTAAAATTTAGGTCAAATCGGGTCCATCTATTTCATCGTTATGTCAGTTAAATTTTATCATAGTACTTGTACTAAATCCTATCAGGTATCCTCGTCGTTAATGAATAAAATTATATTTCGATGGAAATTTTAACGTTAATGAGAGAAATTAATAAATCCATGGAAATTAGGTAAATGACACGAAGAGATAGCATAGCTAAAAGAAATTAATAAGTCTATTATGTGTTTAATACATTTTTTTCACTAATAATACGGATTTTTTCATAAAATTTTAATGAAATATAAGGACTTAAAATAAAATTTTTATTTTGAAATGTTCTTGGGAATGAGAGAGACACAAATGATAAAGTTCAAAGGATTAAGACATTATATAATTTAAGGTGTGTCATTTTTTTATTTTATTTCCAACAAACAAAGTTTGGTTTATAAAAATGACATTAGTTAAGAAATGAAGGT